TTCTGGGACGCTGACCTGCTGTCCCAGGAAGCTGCCAGGAAGGGATGGCTGCGGCCCACCCAGGGCTGCGAGGCCAAAGACCCGCTGAGGTCCTTCAATCAGGCTGTCCACAAGGGCCGGAGCTGAGCCAATTCAAAGCCAGCAGCTTCTTCTGGGTCTCCTACATGGGTGCAGGGGTCCAAGCACTAGGGCCATCCCTCACTGCTTTCTCAGGTAATCCAGCAGGAAGCCTTTAGTGGCCAAATCCTCACCTCGCAAGTGCCAACATCCCATATGGGCACTGGTTTATGTCCCGGCTGCTGCACTTCCCATCCAGCTCCCGGATTCTAGTCTGGGAAAACAGAAGATGGCCCCAAACCTTGGGACTCTGTGCCCTTGTGGGAGACCTGGGAGAAGCTCCTGGCCCCCGACTGGCTCAGCTCTGGCTGTTGTGGCCATTAGAGGAGTGAACCAGGGGACAGATCTTTCTCTGTCTTTCCTTTCCATAAATCTAATCTGCCTTTCCAATAAAAATAAATTCAGAAAATGGGGGGAAGTGGAGCAGCTGGGACTCCAATCAGCCCCTATAGGGTATGGGAAGCTGATGCTGCAGGTAGAGGATTAGCCTGTTGAGCTATCTTACTGGCCTTTATAAAAACCTTACTCAAAAAAAGTTTATCTACTTGAAATGTGGGGAAGAGGGGAGAAGAGAAAGACATCTTTCTTCCACTGCTGGTTCACCCCCCGAGTGGCTGCCAGAGCCAGGAACTTCATCTGGGTCTTCCATGTGGGTGCAGAGGCCTAAACACTTGAGCCATCCTCTGTTGCTTTCCCAGGTCATTAGCAGGGAGATGGACTGGAAACAGAGCAGCTGTAAGTCTTACCAGCGCCCATATGGGAAGCCAGCACCACCGGCCTAACCTAGGTCACTGCCACCAACGCTGGCCCCTGATGTAGCCTTTCAACATCTTAATCCATTCATTGCCTTCCTGTCACTCCCACGACCCACCTTGAAGAGAGAAAGTTCCGTGACAGCAGAGATCCGTGCTTGGTTTAAGGATTACGTTGCCCAGGACACACAGGCGGTGCAAACACACCCTTGTGAGTCAATGAATGAACAGGTGACTGACCAGAGATGAATGAACTAGGCAAAGTGGCTTTCAGTCACTGACCACAGACTACTTAGGTAGCATCCCAGAGCTCTCAAGACTTTGCCCACGGCCTCAGGGACATCACCCTGTGGACACCCTAGGGGGTTGTGCATACTTCAGACCTCCCCCTGGCCAGCCGGCTCCCATCAAGAGTGTGATTAAATATGTATATTTAAATACTTATTTATTTTTATTGGAAAGACAGATATACAGAGAGGAGAGAGAGAGGAAGATCTTCCATCCGATGATTCACTCCCCAAGTGTTGGAACTCTTCCGGGTCTCCCACATGGGTGCAGGGACCCAAGGCTTTGGGCCGTCCTCCACCGCTTTCCCAGGCCATAAGCAGGGAGCTGGATGAAAAGTGGAGCTGCCTGGATTAGAACTGGAGCCCCTATGGGATTCCGGCGTGCTCAAGGCAAGGACTTTAGCTGCTAGGCCACTGCGCCAGGTCTCAAGTGTGATTAAATATTAATAAGCCATTTTCCAGGGTCCAGGAGTCCCTGGCCCAGAAATTCTTGCCAAACCCTGAGCAACAGCCTCGGCTGAATTCCTGAAAAGGAGAGTCAAGCAGGCACCTAGCCGCTCCCTGGACCCCTGCCCAAGGCGGCCTCTCCTGGCTCAAGAATCCACTCAACTCCCAGCTCAGACAGACGAGGGTCTCTGGTCTGGCCCTGGCTCAGGTGCCTCAGCAGCTGCTGACAATGACCTACAAGACAGGGAAGGCTGGGCCAACGCTGGGAAACTGAGCCCCCATGCTTCTCCAGGAGATGCTGGGGGTTGTGGAAAGCAGGTTCCTACAGACTGATGGCAGAAACTCGCCGCCGCGCCCCCCCCCCCCAGTCTGTCCTTGCAGGAGAGAACACCCCCTCCTCATGGGAGGCTGAGGGGTGGGGGCACTGTGAAGCTGGCGGAAACCTTCATGGCAACACAGCTGCGCAGGAATGCACCCTCCCCCGCCACTGGGGGACCCTCCCCCCTGCCAGAGCAGGACGCTGCTGGACAGATTAGCTTGTGGGCTGGGGAAAGCCTGGCAGCTGGGGTCTGGTCAGCCTCACTCCCAGCTTTCCCAAGGAGCAAGGGAAGCAGCAAAGATGGGGCTCAGGGCTTGTCCTCAGTGGAAGAGCCATGACCTCTAGAAGCTTGGAGAGGTTCCCAAAGCGTCCTCTGCTCAGCTGGTTTCCAAAAGAGTCCAATTCATGCCCCCCACCCCCACCCCCAGGTCACCTCTACAAGGCCTAGGTGTCGACCAAAGATGCGGGTGCACTCTAGGAGCACCCAGGGAAGGGTACATGCATGTAGGGCCATATGGGACATGTCACGCCCATCTGGGCACCACCATGAACACACAGTTCAGCATGTCAAAGGTCCCCTCCAGAGAACTCAGCCAGGCCCACCTGACACCTGGGGCCAGGGCTGGGGCCAGGTGAAACAGCTGCTACAGGGGCTGACAAGCACCCTGGAAGGCAGCAGGTGATAGATTAAATCTCGGGCCCTTGCCTCCCACGTGGGAGACCCAGGTGCAGTTCCGGGGTCCTGGCTTCAGCCTGGCCCAGCCCCACCTGTTGCAAGTATTAGAGGAGGGAAAAAGTTAACTTAAAAATAAAAATATACCTGCCGATCTGAAAAGACTAAAAACCTCCAGGAACAGTGTTTGGGAACTCAAGACCATCTGGCCAGGGGGGAAATTCCTTCCATCTTCCTTTATGCTTCAGTCCCCACCCCCCAGCCTACTTCTCTATTGTTTAAAGCAATGGGGGTCGCCTGGGGTTTGGGGCCCCTTTCTCTTCCCATGCTTTGCCTGTTAAGAGATGAGAGTATCAGTTAAGCTGTATTCACCTGTTGACTCCAGCCCAGACCTGGAAGACTCTAGGGAGGGGTCTGCAAAGACTGGGCCATGCTCACTTCAGAGCAGTTTGCGTGGACCAACACAGTGCCTGAAAAACAGTCCTCCCCGAAATTGCAACCGCCCAGGCAAGGCCTGGCCCACACCCTAACTACGGTTCCTCAAAAGCCACTCAAACCTTGGCGTCCCAGGGGCTGGGCCACAACTGTCCTTCCCACCTGGCTTTCCGGGTCGCTCTGACACACCCATTCCCTCCCTGCTGGGAACCCCCTGTGCACCCTGACAGGCGTCCCAGGAGCCTGGGTTAAGGCGGCCTGCACCTGCAAATGGAGCCGCTGGGAAGAGGGAGAGGCTGGGCACCAGCCCCGCCCTCCTCACCCAAGGTTCACCTGTCTCAGGTGAGCGCCTCCGAGAGCCACACCTGCTCCCCTGGTTACCCCCGCAGTGCGTCCACCAACCGGCCGGCAACGCAAGACACAACTTTCCCTAGCGAAGATCTATCGCTCGCCAGTCCCCGCAGCGCAAACCCCCCGGTCCTCAGCGGGGTGTCCCAAGGGGCGCGGGGCTGAGTCAGGCCGCGAGACCCGAGGTCCCTCCCGCAGGCTTCCTGCGTCCGGGGATTAGGACGCATAAAGGGCCGGCGGGGAGCAGCCCAGATGGCAGGGTCTGAGCCTCCGAGGGAACGCGCTCGGCCGCCGCCCGTGCAGAGGGTGACCGGAGACGCGCGCCTCCCCCCGCCCCGGGCGCCCTGCACGTGGGCCCGGGGTCTCCGTCTTCGCTTGCGGGGGCCCCGCACCCAGCCGGCCGGACACCTGGTCCCTTGTTCTCCCAAAGCCGACCCTGGAGTGCAAACCCCAAACCCAAGCTCGCTAACCGCGGAGCGAGTCTGACAAAGTTTGCCGGCGCCACTTCCCACAGGTGTCCGATTCCCAGACGAGCCCAGCGACCCGGACGAGGGCGAGGCGGGCGGACCTGCGCGCAAGCCCTCTCCGCCCGCTCGCCAGGGGGCTCGGCCGCACCGAGCGCTGGGCGCGCCCGCCAGGTGGGTCCGCGCGGGTGCCTCACCTGGAAGCCCAGTCCGGCCCGGCTCCGCCTGAAGCCAAGGCGTCGCTCGGCTGCCGCTCCGCTCGCTCCGTGCGCCGGCCCGCGGGCTGCCGGGCGGCCGTCTCCTTCCTGCTCACCTCCGGCGCGGCCAGCCGGGGGCGGAGCGGCCGCTATTTACATAAAGGGCGAGCCGGCCGGGGCCCCCGCGGCCCGCCTCCCGGCCCGCGCCGACGGGGCGGGGACGCACGCGGCGCCCTCGGGGGCGGGGCCGCGCGCCGGCCAATCCGCGGCCCCGGAGCGCTCGGGGGCGGGCCCTGCCCGGGAGGACGCGCGCGGCGCAGCCCGCCCGCCCCGCTCACCTGCGCGCACCTGGCCGCAGGACGGCGCGCCGCGCCCAGTGTCCCGCCGCCTCCCCGAGGAGGAAGTAGTTCCCGGAGCGCCTCCCAGCCGGCCCGAGAGGTCAGCCTGCCCGCCCTCGGCCCGCCGCGCCCACCCCCGAGCCGGCAGGGCAGGCCCGCGAGCCGGAGGCGCCTCGGACACCGGCCAGGTTTTGGGTAATGGCTGCGAGAGTGTCGCAACCAGGGACCTTTCTTCGGGCGAGCCCCATGCACCAGGACCCTCCGTGTCTTCTGCGGGGACCGGCAAGAGCGCGAAGCCCCAGGGGACAGTGGCGGGAGTTTTTAGGGCGAGCCCGGGGGTAGGGTGAGTGGGGAGGAGCGAACTGCGCTCTCCGCAGAAGTTGGTGGCCCCGCCGAGTGCAGGAGACCCCACGGACCTCGCGCCTTCCCGCCGCCCTTCCATCCCGCCCTGACACAGCACGGGGGCCAGGGTCGGTGGAGAAGGGGCTGGCCTTCTCTCTCTCCTCGCTGCCACTGCCCAAAGCGGTTCACCCAATCGAGGGTCCAGCAGAAGCAGCTCCGGTCAGTTCCCGGGATGGGTGGAGGTTTGCCCAGTGCACACACACACAGCACGCAGGAGCTCAGTGTTTTAATGGCTTTGGCTTTATGGCAGGAAGCAGGCACCCTCTCATTTGAGGCAGAGTCCTCTCTCCCGCCTCCCACTCCTGGGTCTGAGGTCCAGGCGAGTTACAAGGGGAGGACCCTGCAAGGCAGCAGTCTCAGGTGGGCAGTTGGCGGCAGGTAGCCAGGCCAGGGAGGATGGGGCTACTGGCAGAGCCGGGGCACAGGAGGCAGCTGAATCCCTGAGAACAGACAGGCGGGGTTCCCCTCCCAGCACCCTGCGTTCAGTGCTCAAGGTCCCTGGGCAAGGTGAAGTCCCTGAAGCTGTAGAAGGAGATGTCGCCGTGATCGCCCAGCGCGAAGATCAGAGGGACGTCCCCACTCTGGTAGGACAGGCGCTTGAGGCTGCACAGGTCTGGGACAGGCTCGTCAAACCTGCGAGGGGAGAGCTCTGTGATGGGGCCTGCCCAGGCCGGGGGACCAGTCAGGTGGCGAGCCAGAGCGCTCCACCTGGGCTCTTGTGTCTGCAGACAACACCGTCAGCCGAGCCCAGGGAGGCCCTGAGCCCTGGGTCTGGAAAGGCTGGCCGTAGATCCCGCCCAGCTACACCGGAACTGAAGTGATAGGAGATAATGAGTCAGCCATTAGCAGCTTGGATTCCCACAGAACAGGCTTGGATGGGCCTTGTGCGGGTCCTCTCCTGCGGCAGGTAGCCTGGCCAGAGGGGGACGCAGGGGCAGGGTGCACTCGGATCATACCCACTCACGCACATCCGGACGTAGGGTCGACCAGGGCTGTTCTTGCGGAATGTGGCCACGGCATCAGCCTGGTAGACGTCAAAGCTTATCTCCAGGCCTCCACACTTTCCCGGCAGCCTGGGGGAAGGGAAGAGGCCTCAGGACACAGTGGGCTGGTTCCAGGGACTGACCCTGTAAGGCCCCTCGCCCCACCAGCAGGGAGAGGCTGCAAGCTGGGGACTCACCGTGCAGCCCCGTCAGCCAGGTGTGTGGTCTGAAGCACAGAGATGCGGTCCAGGACAGCCGCTGCAGGGACAGTGAGAAGCAAGTCGGCGATGGGCAGGCCAGTCACCAGCTGGCCCCCGTGGCATTTCTGAGCCTGCAATCTTGTTTAGCAGACCTGTCCTGTTTCCCAATGCTACTTAACTGTTGCTTCCCTGGAATTCGGATGTGAAGGACTCGGAAGCCCTGTCTGGTGCCCTGCACTGCTGGGCCCCCGTAGACGTTACAGAGCTCCGAGTCTGTTCACATCCTGCTTACACCACACCAGCCCTGCCCCAGAGTGCGCCTCCCAGACAGTCCCTCCTTGTTCGGCCAACAGGAGGGACTGCGGCTCCCTGGTGGCAACGGCTTGCTCTGGTCACATAAGCTTGTTGGTGATCTTGGGGACCCATGCACAGTTCTCACCCCCTCTTGGCCTACGTACCAACTTAATCCTTGCCCTGCTGGTTCCTGTCTCCCAAGTCCCAGCTGCCTGCTGGGAGCCTGGGGGCTGTGGGTACCTGGGGAGTCGGCTTGGCTGGGGCTCAGCAGGGGGGTGATGGGCTGGTCCCACAGGTGGGGGGCGGGGCCCTGGCTCTCCTGCAGGTGCCTCCTCTGCAGCAGCTCCTTGTATTCCCGCCAGCCAGAGCAGCGCCGCACCTCCGGGTCCGAGTTCACATCTTTCCGGAAGTGCCGGGCCTCCACCTCCTGCTCCCGTTCCCTCCGCGATAGCTTCTCCTTCCGCTGGTTCAGTTTCTGGCACCAGGAGCCTGCATCTGTGTCCCGCCCGGCGACATTGGCGGGGAGCAGCTCTGGGGCTGGGGCCGCCAGGAGGGTATGGCGGCTGTCAGGGGCCATGTTGGGGAAGGAGATCTGCTCGAAGTCCCAGCGTGACTTAGCTGGTGCCGTGACCCCATTCTCTGTGTCGCTGCTGCGGCCCACTCCTTCCTTGGCCAGGTGAGGGAAGGGCTCCAGGGACCCCAGCAGAGGCAAGGGGCCTGCCAGGTCCTTTCCGGGGAACGATTCTTGGGCTTTCTCCTCGGGGTGTGGGCCGGAGGCTGCCAGGTTCTCAGGGCGCAGGGCGTCTTCTGGGGCCTTGGCCTTCTTATTTACAGACCTGGGGTGCATGGGAAGAAAACAGCCATCTGCTCCTGATGGCTGAGACGCACATGTCCCCTTGAGTTGCCCTGAGCCCATGTGAAGCCACCGTAAAGCTGAGCAAGCCCACACATCCCAGCCACCAGCACTACCAAGGGCTGGAGTTCCTCCTCTTCCTCTTGCCAGTACCATCCTCCAAGTGCTGGGTGCTGCCGTCCAAATTCAGCTGCCTCTCGTAAGGGGACAGGACAGAGCTGTGGGGGGACAACAGTGGGAGGATGGGGACCACAGAGCCACCTCTGAAGCAGCAAACAGGGCTGGCCAGTGACCGGGCCAGGTCAGACTAGAGCCCTGGACAGATCTACATGAGGAGTCCACACGGGCACTCCAGAGGCCCAGGCAGGCCTCTGTCCAGGCCTCCGGATTAGTTCTCTCAAGCTGTCCACAGTCAGTAAGCAACCACTGGTGAGGAAATCCACGCATGGCCAGAACGGAAGCACAAAGATGAAGAGCAACTCTGCCAGACCCCTGGCGGCATCTGCTTCTACATGGATGCCAACTAACCTTGCCCATGGTCCCCCTTCCCCCAAAAAAGTTGGCACTGCAGCACTGCACTGACAAAATGCTTCCCAATCCCTTCTGCTCCGTGACATTACCGTGGACACCACCCCTTATGACTCTGCTGTTCTCTTAATACAGCAGCTGCTAGTCAGGCAACTAAGCTCAGCTCAAGAGAAATGACTCAGTGCCCCGGCGGCTCCGGTTCCCCAGTGCACCACACCGGCAGAACATTCTCGGAGTTGCGCTGAGGGATTAACTCTTGCTAATCCATGGCCACATGCCCATACTTGTTGAACACACACAGGCTGTTTCTAAGCACAGAACTTGGAAAAGTGTCAGGGACAGCATGGGGTCCCTGCCTCATGCAAGCTCTGTGGGGCCAGGGTGATCTGGCCATTTTCAGTGATGAATCCAGGGCCTGGACCCAGTGAGCAGTCAGTACCAATGAATGAACCCAATGACACGCACACGGCTGTGGGTATGTCTTTAGGACAGACTACTCTGAGGAAATAAAGTATGTGTGTGTTTGAGTTTTCCTGCCTTACTCTTGCCCAGTCCCTGAGGCCCTTAGCAATGCTGGCTGACCAAGGGGACAGAACCCGTCTGGCCCAGCGTATGAAATGCAAGACCCCCCCCGCCCCAAACGCACACTCAACATGGGCCTGCATGCCTCCCCAGTGCCGGCAGCTGGCCCTGTCCTGCACTTAGGACACAGCAAGCTGCCCTCCCATGTGCCCACTACAGCACGCGTCCTTCCCAAGCCCCCATGGCCACTTCCCATCCCGACCAGCAGGGTCCCAGGACTAGAAGGAATCAGGAGGACGAAGGACAGTGAATGACCTTGCATGGAATCGACGAACCACATAGCCCAGTCGTTTCAGGTGGCTGAAGACCTCAAAGGTTAAAGAGAAACAGCAGTTCAGAGATCCACTCTACAACCCAGAAGATTCTGCAGACACTAGCCATTTCCTGTCCCGCTCAGGACTGGCTGGACAACAGGAAATCCCAGACACAGTCCCCAATGCCAGCTCTGTCCCTCATCTGACCGTGCTCAAAGGCTAGTGACAATGTCCTGTGCAAGTCCAGAATAGCTGGTCTCAGGAAAGAACCCTGCCCTCAGCCATCCGATCCCCAGGTCTGGATAGCATGTAGCGCAAGGCTGGGGTCGTCTCTCCACAGTCCCACAGCCAGGAGCCAGAGGGTCCTCCTTGGGTGCCCAGCATGTGACTCGGGGGCACATCCAGGAACATCCCCATCCAGCCCGGTTACTCGTAAAGCCACTCTTCTCCCAGCTTCCCTGACACCACTTACGGTTTTGCGGGGTTCCTGGACGCTCCTCCATCTGCTTCTGCTCCCATTCTTGCCCTGAATCTCGGAGAGGAGCACTCCAGCCCACTGTCCACTCTAGCCATACACCCCGTGTGTTCCTACATCCACACCGGTCCCTGCTTAGCCCCTGCCCCGCCTCCCAGGTTCACAGCTCCCCTTTGGCACCCTCAGTTCTGGGTTCCAAGCAGCACCCCAAAATGACTCTGGGAGGTCGGCAGGTACCTGGTACTTGGGGAAAGCGGCAGCGTCGTGGGCCAGCAGCAGCTGGTAAGCTTCCTGGATGGAGAGCGGCACGTCTTGGTGGAAGAGCTGGATGGAGCCCTACCGGGGGAGGGGAGGTTCAGCCGAGGGGAGCAGGGAAGTGGGGGGACAAGAGTCCCTGCAACCGGTTCATGCAGCGGTGCCTGCTCTCCTTCCCATGCGCCCGGAGCGCCCCACTCACACACTCCAGCAGATACAAGGCTTCTTCGGGGTGCAGCCGCTGCTGGCCCTGCTCGGAGTAGCCCATGGTCTGCCAGAACTTGCCCTGTGTGGAGGAGCACGGCCAGTCTCATAAAGGGAGGGCACAGAAGGCGGGTCCGCGACATCCCCCCCAACATAACCCGACCCCGCTGCTCACCGCAGGAGACTTTAACTCCACGAAGCCCTCTTCCGGTCTCCACTCGGCGGCCACCAGGCTGCCCCTGGCGAGCAGTGTGGGGCACAGGTGGGTTTCCCGAGCGCCCTTCAAGTTCCCGCCCGCTCGCCCGCCCCGGGTCCGCCTCCTCACAGGCGTTCCACGCGCTCCTCGGCCAGCAGCTGCCACAGCTCCTCGCGACACCGCTGCAGGCGCTCGGCCTGGGCGGCCGAGCCGTCGGGGAGAAAGTCCTTGGGGCCATGTGACCGCTGGGGCAGCTTCTGGGGCCGCGCGCGGGCGGCGACGAGTTCCCGGGCGCTGGAAAAGGGGAGCGGGAAAAAGAAGCGGAGTCAGCCCCGCGCGCGGTCTCGAACCCGCGTCCCGCCGCACGCCCCAGGCCCGCGGACCCAGCGTCGGGGCAGCGCCGCACCTGAGCACGCGCCCCGCGGGGACCTCCACAGCCCCGGCGGGCTCGGGGTCGGGCTCCATCCGGCCGCGGTGTGCGGCTGCGCGGCCCCGCCCCCGCCACGCCCCCTCGCCGGAACTCCGCGCGACTCCTCCCACTTCCACGCCGAACCCGCGCCGGACCTTCGGGCTGGCCTGGGTCCTAGCGCCCGGGCCGCTCGCCCGCTTCGGGCTTTGCAAGCCCAAGCCCACGCCGAGGGTCGTCCACCGGTGGCCCCTGCGAGAGGAGGCTCCTTCGGGCGTTGCGGGGCGCTCCGAGGCCGCGCTCCCGCGGGTGGCGGTGCTGTCCGGCCCACGCTGGTGCTGAAGCACCCCCAGCCCTTCGGGGTTCGGCGGGGTTCCCCGCGGTCGCCGCGGCGAGCCATTCCCGAAACGGCCGCCAGGTGGCGCCATCGCGTCGACCAGCTGCGCGAACTCTTGCTCCTCCCCCCCCCAGCACACACCCCCCCCCCCGCTCTGCCTTTCACCTGCACGCATGCGCCGACGCAGCCGGCGCCGCGAGCCGGGACCTGTGCGATGGGGGCGGGGCCGGCGCGGTGGGCGGGGCCGGCGCGGTGGGGGCGGGGCCGCGGGCGTTGACTGACAGCCCGACTGCGCGGCCGGGACGGTCCCTGCGCTCCCGATCCGGCGGGAGGGGTTGGGGGAGGGGCGGGATTTCCTGCGGGAGGCGCCGAGCCGGCCGTGGAAAAGGCGGAGAAGGAGGAGGAGAAAGGGGGCTCGGGGCGCCGTGGGAGCCGCCAGCGTCCCGAGTGCCCGGGGGCCGAGCCTCGGCGGGGCGGCGGGAGAGGTGAGACTGCGGGACCCGAGCTGGGGGCGGGCGCCAACTAACTTTTCCTGCGGGATCGGCGGGCGCCTCGGCTCCTCCAGGGCTCCCCGCGCCCCCCTCGCCGTCCTCCCGCTTCTGTGCCCCCCACCCCATCCCGCCGCCTCCCGCCGCTTTGTTCCCCGGGGTCGGCCGGGCTCGGCGCTGGAGGGGCATTCCGGGGGGCGGGGGAGCCGGCCAGACCCCAGGCACGGCCCGCGCCGCCTCCCCCACCCCCGTCCCGCGGGCCCCTGTGCGGGGTGCCCTCCGGGGTTGGGCTTGGCGCGTCCGCCGAGTGAGGGGCTTCCAGCCAGGGCCCCAGGCCTTCGCGGGTCTCCTGCCACAAGGCTCTGGCAGCAGACCCGCCGGTCCTGAGGAACTCACGGCTGGCTGACGTCAGCCCTTCTGCCCTCAAGCCGAGGGTCTGCGCTTGAGGTTTGGGCTTGGAGGGGTGACGACGGGTAGAGGCAGGGGTGGGGAGAACGAAAGACCACCCTCCCCTGGCCAGCAGCGCCTCCGTTCTGGCTGTGTTTGCAGCCAAGCTCCACGCAGGGGTGAGGATGGGTCAGCAACAGGTGCTGGAGGCTTCTTCGTCCAGCAGGCAACCCCCACCCCTCATAACCGCCGAGGACACCCCAACCCCCCCTGCAGTCATAGGGAGCCCTAGGTAGGGAGATGTTGGGGGCAGACGCCTCGGCAGGGAATGACCCCTGCCCATCTGGCTGGCGTTGCCTGACCCTCCCAAGTCCACTTCGCAGCCTGCCAGTTGTTTGTGGGCGCTGGCCTGGCCTGCCCCCATGTGTTGAGCTGCCAGGGCCCCTCCTGCCCAAGGTTGAGGTACTGCCAGGCGCCCCAGGCAGGGCTCTGTGACTCAGCCTCCCTCTCCCAAATGCCACCTCCCCCTGCACACACTCCCACTCAGACATGGGCTCCCTTCTCCCTTGGTGTGGCTGGGGCCTCCCTTTGATTCTCGGGCAGTGGGGTAGCCGGGTGATGCTGGGGGCCTGGAGGAGGGGCTCCCCAGAAGCCACGAAGGGCTCAGTCTCTGTGCCCCAAATCTGGGGCCCTTGCAGGCCGTCGGGCACCAGTTCCCAAACCACAAGACCGTCCACTGCTGCCACTGCCACTGGAGGCCTGAGGGCATGCTGGCTGCTCCCTGGGTGGGCGTCGCTGCTGCTCCCAGGCCCGGCCGGGAAGATTGGCGTGCCCAGTCCCAGCCCTTCCTGGGGCTGTCTTCGTCGGAAGCTGCGAGCTGGTAGCTGTCCAGATCTTCACAAAGCCTCCACCCCCTGGGAGAGCGGGTCTTCGCTCGCGGCGGCAGCTGCCTGTGCACCTTGCTGGAGCCCCCACCAGGACCCCTCTGTGGGCATGGCCACCTGACGCCTCGGCTTGGACCCGTGTCCCCGCGTCTGCCCTGAGCCGGGATGGGTCGTGAGCAGGATCTGATCCTGGCAGTCAAGAATGGGGACGTGACTGGTGTTCAGAAGCTGGTGGCCAAGGTCAAGGCGGCCAAGACGAGTGAGTACCTGGCCTGGGTGCTTGGTGGGGGCCGGCTTCCCTGGCTGCAGACTCGAGGGAGGAGAACTGTCTTGTTGGGACTGGTGGTCTCCTCTCCGTGTGAGAAGCTAGAGAGAGGCCATGTGTCTTTCCTGAAAAGTGAGGGTCCATTCATTCGGGTTTGCTGTCCCAGGACCTGCCTTCCAGCAGGAGGTTTTCCGGTGCGTTCTTTCGCACCCCGTGGTTTCTGGCTGAGCGCACTCGGCACTACGTCCCCCCCAGTCTGCCTCTGGGTCTTGCTGTAGCGGCGGTGGGGGTGTCTGCAGGTTAGCTTTGCAGAGGCCCTCTCCGCGGGGCAGAATCCCAGCACTGCTGAACCACTTGCTAAAGCTCCTCCTGCCCCTGATTTCTCTGCCTGTCTCTGGGATTGTGTGTGGCCCAGGGCTGGGTTTTCTGGAAGGTTCTATATAGCCTTGAGACTCTAGTCTCAAGCTCCAGGCACAGTGGCCTCTGAGTCCCATCTCTTGGGTTTTCTTGTAGTGGCACCCCTCCCTTCCTCACCCAATAGCAGTGTTGAGCTCGGCTGGCCCCAGGAGGCCACTGGACAGAAGCCTTGAGGTCCCTTAGACCTGCAGGGAAGGAAGTGGTCTTTGCCACCTGACGGGCTGGAGGACACGGTTATGTAGAGGAGGTTCTCCCTTGGCATGCTGGGGCTCCATACCGTGGCCCCGCTCCCCCTCGCTGTACATGTGTGCGCGCACACACACACACACACACACACACACACACACACCCACACCCCTTGGTCCTCAGGCTGTCCTAAAGACAGCTTATGCTCACCCACATCGAGGAGCGTGGGGTGCTGGAGGGAAGGATTTGACTGGAACACACCTACCTGCCCCTAGGGTTGGGGAGATCCAGTAGGGCCCAGAGAGGTGGTGCAGTTGGGGTGTGTGCCATGTGCCCCCCAGGAAGTAGCTACAAGTGAGCCCACCTGTGAGAAAGGGGCTCAGGAGGTCCCCGGACAGGGGCCGCAGGGCAGTAGCTCCCACCTGCACTCTGTTGATTGTGGCGAGCTGCGCGGTGGGGCTTTGGTCAGGCTGATGCTGGCCTCAGGAGGCCAGGCCCCAAGAAGGGCCCCTTGGGCCGGTGGGAAAGGATTGTGGGAGTGGGGGACTCCCTTCAGCGAGAAAACCTCGCCTTGCAGCTGCGCCAGAGGGTGGTACAGGCACAGGGTGTGAGGCCTCGGTGCTGCTGGGCAGGCCCTGACACCGTGCCTCCTTACCTGGGCCTTGGAGAAGCCCATGACAAAAGTCAGAGCACAAAGGGACGTTTGTGAGCCTCGCGGTCTGTTGAGTATTACAGTCCCTTTGTGAGGCACACGTTTCTGAATCCCTTTCACACGTCCACAAGGCAGGCAATGCTCAGAGAGGGTCAGTGACCTCCCCAAGGTCGCACAGCCATCATGCAGCAGGTCAAACCTGGGCTCCCACACCTGGCCCATCAGAATCGCCTGGCCCAGTTCTAAGGTGCAGACTCCCGTCTTCCCCACCCCCACTTCCTGCAGAGGGGTCTGGGATCTGCCAATGAGCAAGTTCCCCAGGGGATTTCAATGCAGGTCTCAGCAGGGGGGCTGGGGACCCCCGCCCTTTTGCCTTTTTAGGAGTGTGGCCAAAGCTTCCTAGCCAAGAAGGGTGCTCTCCCAGCTGATGCTTCTGAAATCCAGGCCCACCCTCATTGTGCTTTAGCAAATGCTGTTCAGGAGAAGCAGGTGGCTGGGCAGGAGAGGGACGCATTGGCCTGGCCTTGCCCCTGCCCCATCCTCTCTCCACTCCCCTTTCTGGGCATCTCTGGCCAGAAGGAAGTGCAGTAACCTGGACTGGCCAGCTGAGCTCACATCCTGTGCCCGGAGCCTAAATTGGGAGCAACCCTTCCACACCCCGCCCCACCCCGCCTTGAACTGCCGCGGAAGTTGCCTGGAGCCACTGCCAGGAACCAGGACCCTCCACCCTCCCACCAAGGTCCCTAGCTCGGGTCATCCGAGCCTCTCCTCAGCCACCTTTCCGGCCATTGTTCTGGAAAGAACAGAGCACCCGGCGTGGCCCAGCCCCTATTCCTGTGTCCCTCCTGTCACGTCCTGCTCCTTCCTCCTGCCCAGGCGCTCGGCAGGCTGCACGGGACGAGGGCCTCTCCTTGTCTTTGCTGACCTCATAGTTCTCACAGAGGCTCTGAGAGGCGCCGTGGCCAAGGTCACAGCCCATGAGGGGCAGAGGCCATTGGAACCAGGCACTTCCTGCTGCTCCAGCACCTGTTTGTTCCTCTGCTCGCTCACAGGGGGCTGGGGGGACACCCAGAGGATTGGGCTTCTTCCCCCTGGCCACTCAGCTCTCCCTACCAGTGTCCCTGTGTTTACCTTTTTGGCATGGCTCTCAATGGAGCTGTCCCCTCCCTCCCCGCTGCAGGGTTGGGTCCTCCCTGATAGAACGAGGCCCTGTCTTGCTTGGGGCTGCTGGGGTATTCTGGGGCCCACCAGGGCCTGGGGGACAGGCCTGGACTGGCATGCTTGGCCCCCTGCCCGGTGTGGGTTGAGCCAGCTCCCCTTCTGCCACCCTGCTCTGCTCCTCTCCCCTTCCCGTCCTTCCTGGCAGGGGTGGGACCCCATAGAAGGCAGGGCTTAGGTGACATGCCCTTCTGCACCCCACGCTTCAAGAACTGCCCCCACCCA